GGCCGTTTGTCGACCTGGAAGAGGTTGTGCATCTCGCCGTCAGGATCGAGAAGCAGCAGAAGACGGCGGCAGGACGACGATTTTCCCCTGCAGCAAAAACCGGAGCAGAGCCGCCAGCTGAACCCACTCTGCCTCCACCACGAACCGACGCGGTGAGACTAGCCCCCCGTAACACCAATCCCATTGCAACTGAACGTTCTGGGACGATCCAGTGCTTCAAGTGTCACGGACGGGGACACAAGGCTAATCAATGTCCTAATCCTAAGGCCTTGATTCTCCGGGATGGAGAATACGTCACCGACGATGAGGAGCAGAGCTCTGATGATGACACAACCGACGAAGACATTGAAGTGGAGAAGGCACCCACAGGGAAACTGATGACTGTTAGCCGGAGAGCCCTCACCGTGGAAAGTTCCCCTAAGTCAGACCAGAGGGAAAACTTGTTTCACTCGAGGTGTGAGGTTGACGGCAATCTTCTGTCGTTAATCGTTGACGGCGGCAGCTGTGCCAATGTTGTGAGCCAGGAAGTGGTGAAGAAGCTTGGCCTGAGTACGATTAAACACCCAGAGCCATACAAACTACACTGGCTCAACGACTACGGCGCAATTCGCGTGACGAAGCAAGCCAAGCTGAACTTTTCAATCGGAGGCTACCAGGACGAGTTATTATTTGACGTCGCTCCGATGCAGGCTGCTCACGTGTTGCTAGGAAGGCCCTGGCAATTCGATAGGGGTGTCTGTCATTACGGTGACACCAACCGATACAGGGTTCGGCACAAAGGAAAGAAGTTCTTGCTGGAACCATTGTCGCCAGTCGAAGTTCGAGAAGATCGGCGACAGATGGAGTCGAGTCGACGGCGGTCGAAGGGCCAAATTGATGAATCAACATCAGGGGAAGCTAAGGAAATCAATGGAGTGGCTCGGCGATTGATGCTCACGGGCTACAAGCGGCAGAAGATGTCTCGACCCCGCCGGAGTTGTGCAAAGCCACCGAAGTAGAGCAAGAGAGAGGGTGTATTGGGTGGAGCTCCGGGGAGCAATCCGACCCAACCCAAGCAGCTCGACCTATTCCCTATCACACTGGGAAGCTTTTACATTGATCAAATTGAGTTGATTCTCCCTGTTTTACAGAATCAAAATCGAGCAAGGGAGTCCCTGCCCACGCAACTCCAAGGCGCACAATCGAGTGAGTTGGGGGGAATGGTTGGAGAAGAATCGACACCACGGCCCCATGCTGATCCATTGCAATCATGTCTAGGAAGCTCTAAGATCGATCGAATTGATCCGGCAACAGCTGGAAAGAAAATTCCCAAATTGAAATCGAAATTTCTGGGCACAACCTTTTTGAAACTCGGCGAAGGCGGGAAAAGAAGGGACGAAGAACCGACACTCCTGGGCAAGGGTCGAGGGCAGAGACCAGTGCAGAACTTCAATTCAGAGCTTGCTGAACCTATTGGTGCCCAGGAATTGAGTTGTCGATCCTTGAACAAAGAAGCCCCAATTCAGCAAATGAAGAACATTGACCTATTTTTCCAGAATGACCCGTTTGACACAGTAACTTTCGATCTCATTTGGAGCCAATTTTGTGCAGATTTCGAGAAGAGAAGAGAACCAGCTTTGAGAGCAAAGCTTTTTGAAGAGGGGGAGCCTGATATGAGCATGGATTGCCTCTTAATCAAGTTAGAAATACTTGCCAACGAAACCAACTCAAAACAACATTCAACTATGGATTTTTGGCTAAGGCATGGTACTGTTTTTGGTAGCCTACTTTGTAAGACTCTCCCTCTCAAGTGGCTCGTTGAAAATGGGAGTACAAGGCCTCATCTTGAACTCCAAGTGTTGCTGGACATGTTGGTGTGCTTTGAAGCTCGAAGGGAAGCCGGGAAGCACAGTTTCAAGGCCCGACAAGATGGTAGCTCAATGCTGGGAAAATGGCAGGAATTGCCTAAGTATCAAACTGTGCGCAGCATAGCTACTTTGGAGGCTCACTCCGGGAAGATGGCGCCGAATCAAGAGAGAAGCTTCAGGCCACATGAAACTACGTATTTCCTAGTACAGAAACAAGGAGTTGGGTGATCGATTTCATACCCAGAAGACCTCGAACTGGGACGCCGAAGATAGTATCAAGGCTGTTTGTTTTCTTGCATTTTAAGTTTCCATGTTGTGTTAGTATTAGGACTGTTTTGGGTTTCCTTGTTTCTCTCGACTTTCCTTGTTGTTTTAGGTTTATTTTTAGTTCTATTTAAACTCAAAAGGGGACTTGTAATCGTGGACAGCAATAAAATTGAAGTTTTAACCCTAAAAACTAAGTTTCAACAGCTTGTTTTTGGTTGAGAGCTTGGCCGAGACAACCAAGCTCGATTGAAGCCCTTGTATCGGTCAAAAACCACATTGATCGTGGGCGGGCATCGACGTATAGTTGCTGAGCCTTCCTCCAGGTGAAGGATTGCACACAACTTCCACCAACTTTGTTCTTCCTCATCGGCAGGACACCAAATCCAGTTCCGACGAGCTCAACGCAAGGGAAGGGCTTGACTTGTAGCTCCTGTTGTCCGAAAATCAAATTAAAAACCCCCATGGGTTTATCAAAAATGATACTAAACGGGGCCTAAGCATGCCACTTGAAGATGGAACATATTAATACTAAACACTGGAGCAACTTAAACTTAAACTTACTGCCAGAAGATGGAACATATTAATGCTAAACTTGGGAACAACTTAAACTTAAACTTGAAACTAGCACTGGAACATATTAAAGGTAGATATAATCACTCCCATTGTCGTTCCTCATTGTCTTCTCATTGTCGCCCTCGTCCTCTTTATTGCCCTCTTCATCCTCCTCCTTGTCGGCTAGTCCTCGGGTTCCTCTTAACTCGAGCAACAACAAGAGTCCACATGGGAGGTGGAGGTGGTTGTGAAGCACCAATTGGTATAGGAGTGGAGACATGGCTCGATGGACGAATGGGTGGTGATAGAGTTTGATATTGTTGGTAGAATTGAGAAAATCCTTGGGGGAACATGTCAGCATTTTGCGAAGGGCTACTACTCGATGAGGCTCCAGCTCCTGCAGTTGGATTGGGGAATTCGTACTCAAAAGGTTCCAGGAGGCTAAATTCTTCATTTGAACGGAGAATAACAGCTAGACGCTCAGCTCGTCAATTTTTACTCCACGGAGCCTCGGGTGGGGGTTGTGCATCATCATGAAATAGCTATTCATGCTCGAGTTGTCGATGATGGCCTCTCCAATGCTCGACAACTCAATGAGAATGGCAACAATTCTCAATGTGATCGTCATCTCCCCATCTCTCGTCCTAAGGTAAGCTTTGTCCCCCAAACCATAAATAAGGTTATGATATGTAATTGAATTGGTATTGTAAATTTATGGTGAGTTTGAGTTTACCTAGAGTTTTTAATGCATCTTTCTAAGTTTGGGTGTATGGTAGCATGTATGCCATATTCTAGCCTAGGTCAAATTAGGCTATCACTTAATTGTATGTGAATGATTATCCTTAGCTTAGTTAGTTGATATTCAGTCCTAGTTGTTGGATGAGGTGACTGTCCCCTGCAAATAGGAGCTCACTTAGGTATGCTTGGGACTCAAGCACTTGACCATCGACTCGAGGACATTGTGTGAACACGCGTAGAACCAGTTTAAAAGAGATAGAGCGTTATCCTACTCACTGAACCCGATTGTGGTGACATTGGGCTCATGAATGTGGCTATCAGGGGAATGGATGGTTTGACCATCATCGGTTCCCAGTTTAGTGATATCCGCACCTCAGTTACCATAATGCTTTACATGTTAATTGCATGTCATGCTTGATGTTAGGATGCGGGCGGTTTACCCAATAATCACTCTCTCTATTATTGCTTCCATCGTTAAACGATTCCTTAGTACCAAAACAACCAACTATTGATTAGATAATTGTAAAACTAAACATGAGTAGGCTAGGGTATCAGCGATCCCTAGGGAATACGACCAAGTTGTTATACTGCAAGCCTGGCTGTGGATACTTATCGCTGCCAGAGTCGGTAATTAGTGAGCATCATTTTAGCACTCGATCTCACACTGCATCATGTGTGCGAGTCAAGTTATACTTTTAATTTGGGGACAAATTTATCATCAAATGGACAATCTACACCACTGAAAAATGCAACTTCTAAGAGGTCGTTTGCTTATGGGAATTTTAAAACATGAAGGATTTAGCTAAAATCCTGGATTTTATTATTGAAAGATTATGTGATTTTTTGTCATTTCGGATTTGTGTTGGATTTTGAAAAGTGCTTGTTTATTTGTTGGATTTCATATGGGATTTATTAATAATATTCTTAATTTACATTTGTATCCTTGATGATTTGTGTCCTTGAGGTTCAGTGTAGGAATATTAGAAAGAGACGAGGATAGACCCGTCATTTACCATTATTGATTTTAGCCTCCCACAAAATCCCAACTAAATGGGTGGGATTTTATATCCGTGGACCCCACAAATTTTGCCCCCAAAACAATCCACATGCATGGGGCCCACATAACATAACCCAACATTACTTTAACGGCTTAATTGCAAGTTTGGTCACTCGAATTGCTATAAAATTTCACGTTTGCCACTCAAATTAATTTATTCCATTTATAGTCACTCGAATTAGTTGAACATTTCAAGTTCGGTCACTCTCCGTTAACCTCCGTTAACTTTGACTGACGTGGCGGTCAACTCTGACAGTTGACCGTTAAATGTGTGACGTGGCAAATAAAAAATAATTAAAAAATAAAAATTAAATTTTTAGAAATTACAAATCATTATCACAAAAAATTATAATTATAAAAAATGAAAAAAAAGAAATTATCACACATTTAACGGTCCACATGCAGTATAGTTCGATTCAGGGGGAAATTCCTCCAAACTTGGGGAACTGCCGGAATTTACTGTTACTGAATCTCGACGGAAACAATCTCGCCGGAGAAATCCCTGGAGAACTTCTGAGCATTTCTTCTCTGACCTCTACATGGGCCTGGCGAAGAACAGATTGACAGGCTCTTTGCCAAGACAAGTAGGGACTTTAAGAAATCTCGGATCCGGCGAAATTCCGGCTAACCTCGGAAGTTGCGTTAGACTGGAGACGCTTCTGTTGCAGAGCAATTCCTTCCAGGGATCCATCCCCTCGTCTCTCAGTTCGTTAAAGGGTATTCAAGTCTTGAACTTTGCAAACAACAATTTGACTGGGGAAATCCCGGAGTTCATCGGGAGCTTCCAGCCGCTGACGAGCTTGAATCTTTCATTCAACGGATTCCATGGCAGAGTGCCGAATGAAGGCGTGTTCAGAAACTCGACCGCGGCTTCGATTTCGGAGAACTATACGGGGGGTTTCTGAATTCCGACTGCCTGTTTGCAGCAAATTGAAGGAGAAGAGTAAAGCAAAGAGATTTTCCACTGCCGAGAAAGCCATGATAATTGGAGCTTCCAGCTTGGCCTTGCTTGCTCAGTTTTTATCTCCCCTGTTTCTACTCTGTTTCAAAAGGAAGAAGAGACTGGAACCAGATGAAGAAGCTTCACCGAATCGCCTCCCCCAAATGAGTTACCAAAGCCTGTGGAAGGCGACTGGAGATTTCTCTCCTCAAAATTTGATCGGAACCGGAAGTTTCGGTTGTGTCTTCAAAGGGATAGACCCAAACGACGGTGACAAAATCATAGCCGTTAAAGTTTTAAATCTTCTTCACCCAGCAGCTGCGAAGAGCTTCAGAGCTGAATGCGAGGTTTTGAGGGAAGTCAGGCACAGAAATCTCGTCAAACTATACTGGATTTGGACCGTTAAAAATTATAATTATAATTTCTTTTATTCTTTTTTTATAATTATAATTTTTTTTATAATGATGTGTAATTTCTAAAAATTTAATTTTTATTTTTTAATTATTTTTTATTTGCCACGTCACACATTTAACGGTCAACTGTCAAAGTTGACCGCCACGTCAGTCAAAGTTAACGGAGGTTAACGGAGGGTGACCGAACTTGAACTGTTCAACTTATTCGAGTGACTGTAAATGGAATAAATTAATTTGAGGGGCAAACGTGAAATTTTATAGCAATTCGAGTGACCAAACTTGCAATTAAGCCTTACTTTAACACCAAACATGGGATTTGTGCATAATCCCATGAGTGTGAGATTTTGATGCAAAATCTTTAATAAAAATCATACAAGCAAACAACCTCTAAGTTTATTGAGTAATACATTGATAAAATGGAGAACCAGGTTGAACCCATTCAATCATGACATATGGTAATTTAAATTCTCTATGTGAATTGGTTGTCACTAAGTTGAAGAAAATGTTATTACTCGCAATATTTTGCCTAAACATATGGATGCATCAAAGACAAAAATAATGGAAGACCATGTACTACTTATGAGGTTGAAAACGTTTGGTCAATCGAAGATAAAAATTGGTCATGAATATGATCTTCCAACTAGGGGCGAATTTTTCATTGATTGGACAATTTGTTGCATGGAAAATGCAACTTCTAAGGTTTTGGAGTTACACATTGATCAAATGGAGAACTAAGTTGAAAGTCGGCTCCGTTCGATCATGACACATGATAACTTAAAGGCTAAATGCAATATATTAGTCACAACCATTACGAAGCGGGAAATTATAGCAACAACTATGGCTTAATTGCAAGTTTGGTCACTACAATTACTTAAAAATTTCAGGTTTGCCATTAAAATTAATATATTTCATCCGTAGTCATTTAAATTAGATTAACAGTTCAAGTTTGGTCACTGGCCGTTAGTCTCCGTTAACTTTTGCTGATGTGGCGGTCAACTCTTGTAGTTGACTGTTAAATGAGTGATGTGGCAATTAAAAAATAAAATAAAATTATTTTTATTTTCCACCTAATTATTATAAAAAAGAAAAAAGAAAATCCTAATTACTTTAAATATTATTTTCCACCGCCGACCATCGCCGTTCCTCTCAACCGTCGCATCTGCGTGGTCTCCACCATAACCATCGCCAGCCAGTCCCTGAACGGGCAGTAAAACCTCTGCCACTCCCCGATCAAGTTCCCGCACAAGGCCTCCTCCCATTGCTCAATCACATGGCCTTGGGGAGAGCAGCGTTGCACTATTCCAGCTCGGTCCCGCATCCCGACGCAGGGCAGTGACGGTCACCACGCTCTGCCAGATTTTTGTTGCGACGTGGCGGGATATGCAGTCGGAGCAGTAGGAGGCGTGGGTGCACGCTCCGACGGCGAGAAGCTAGGCGTGGGTCCACTGCTGCAACTGCTGCTGCTGGAGCCATTAGTTCATCTCTCTTCCCATCCATCAACACCCTCAAATGCACCCAAAACAACAGGCTACACGTGCAATCCTCGGACTCTGTCCTCAGACTTCCAACCTCAGATCGTCTACACATATTTGCTGCTCCCGGAGGCGGAGATCCTCTTCCTCTTCCCATTGCTGCAGTAGCATTGTGGCGGGCGCCCAAGAAGGTATATACGGCGGCCATCGCGCAGGAGGAGGCAGAGGCCGAGGTGGAGGCGGCTGCTCAAGCGGAGGGAGAGAAAGGAGTTGAAGGTGGTGAAGAAACGGGAGAAGGCAGCAGTGGCGTGAATACAAAGCTTTACTTTGGGAATTTGCCTTATAATGTTGATAGTGCGCAGCTTGCTGGGATCATTCAGGATTATGGAAGCCCTGAACTCATTGATGATTCAATTCTAAACATGACGACCCAAGCAAACGATCCCTGAGCTTGCAGTTGAGAGATCAACAATTATTGTATCATTCACATTTCATCTCATTTTGGACCAAGAGAGAGGGGCGGAGTGGAATACGTCGGTTACGAGGTGATGGTTGGGATTGGGGGTGAGGATGATGTCGTGGGAAGGGTTGGAGCCGGAGAGGAGGTTGGTGACGGCGAAGTAATCGGAGTTTTAGAGGACGGTGGGTAGTAGAATTGCGAAGCCGGCGAAGTTAGCGGCACGACGATGAAAAATAATAATTAAAGAAATTTGGATTTTTTTATTTTATAATAATTAGCTAGAAAATAAGAAATAATTTTTTATTATTATTTTTTTAATTGCCACGTCACTCATTTAACGGTCAACTATAATAGTTGACCGCCACATCAGCAAAAGTTAACGGAAACTAACAACTAGTGACCAAATTTGAACTGTTAACTTAATTTAAATGACTACGGATGGAATAAAGTAATTCTAGTGGCTAACGTAAAATTTACTAGTAATTCAAGTGACCAAACTTGCAATTGAGCCCCACAACTATAAAAGTACAAATTATTAGCTATAATTATTGTTGCGCGTAAATGAATGGCTAACAGTTCGTTAGCGTTATTAACTTTGTAAGAGAAAAGGCCATGTCGGCAACCACATCATTTTCCACGTCAGATTAATTTTTATTTATAATTTTCAAATATTAAAAACAAAAAATGAAGGGTCAAAGCCCCCTCATCTTCTTCTTCCCCAGCCACATCCCGACCTTCTTCCCTCCTCCTCTGCCTCGCTGCCATTTCTTCCCTCCTCCTCCCGATTAAATCTCTCCACCTCAATCCTGCTCTTCACTCCGATCTAATCCCTCCCCCCTCAATCCCTCCCCAGTCGTTCCCTAATGCATCTGCCGCTGTCAGCCCTTCATCGTCGCCTTCGATTCCTTCTCGCAACCGCATCCTCGTTCCATTCCCCTCTAGGTCTTCTTCAATTCCAGCTGTCATCACCATCGTCCCCTACTTCTCCTCCTTCGAGCAGATGTTGCCTCCGTCAACTGTTGGTCTTATTGACGGGTGCTCCTCTTCCCATATCGCAATCTTCGTCTCTTTGATCGGAGTGGCAGAGGGTGGATGGCGGCTTCGGGAAGGGTGGATGGTGGAAGAGGGTTTTCTAGGGAAGAAGGTCGGGAGGAGGTAAAGCGTTGGCGGATCTGGTGATTGGCCACGGAGGGAAGAAGGTCGGATTTTTTTTGTCTTTTTTCCTTTCAATTTTTTATGTTTTAAAATTAAAAATATGGTATGATGAACAAAAATGTGGGATCCAACTCAGAATCGTAAAGTTTAGTCAACATTACTAACAAAATTGTTAACAGAGAGTTAACATTTGGCTAATAATTTTTATTTCAATAGATGTGGTTATAATTTCCCGCTTCGTAATAGTTGTGGCTAATATATTGTATCTAACTATCTATCTATATCTATCTATATCTATCTATATCTATATATTATGGCAATTCAAAAGCAATCTCTTGCCACATAAGCATTTGGAGGATCCACAATTTGCCAAGTTGGACAATTTTTTTACAAACAAAAAATTTAGTTATTAATGTATTTATGGAGCTACATCTCTCTTCTTTAATATTTTCATTTCTTTTATCCAATTATTCTTTTTCATTTAACCATTTATTCTTTTATTTTTGCTTTAATAATAAGTTACATGTTGATAAACTTAACCAAACACACATAAATAATAATTTTATTTCCAGTAAACAAAATAAATTAAGAAAATAGAGAGTGACATATACCATATTTGTTTAAATAAAAAATATCTAATTAAACCTTATGAAGAAATTTTCTACTCTTTTTTACTAAAATTGAATGATAATTTACATTCTATCCAATTATTTTTTTCATTTATCCATTTATTCTTTTATTTTTGCTTTAAAAATAAGTTACATGTTGATAAACTTAACCAAACACACATAAATAATAATTTTATTTCCAGTAAACAAAATAAATTAAGAAAATAGAGAGTGACATATACCATATTTGTTTAAATAAAAAATATCTAAATAAAACTTATAAAGAAAATTTTCTACTCTTTTTTACTAAAATTGAATGATAAGTTACATTTTATCCAATTATTTCTTTTCATTTATCCATTTATTCTTTTATTTTTTCTACTCTTTTTTACTAAAATTGAATGATAATTTACATTTTAATGAATAAATTAAACAAATATACACATAAAAAACAATATTTTATCGATTAAACAAAATACATATGAAAAGATAGAAAATAAACATTTGACATTCAATTACCTTTGAAAAATAAACTATATTACTTTATATTTTGTTGCAATAAAAAACTCTCTTATTCGTAAATTCTATGTCTATAAAATAAAACAAGCATTATTTAGCAAAATGTCAGAGTATAATCTTGATCGAGTAGTTACAGTTATTTATTTTAAAAAGACTTCTTATTAATTCAAATCATGTTAACCTTAAACTCCTCAAATGAAGAGGAATCGCATGTGCAATAATTTTATAATGTGTCCTAAGTTCACATTAATAATATTTGTTCTATATCATGTTGATTGAGCAAGCTCTATTGAGGTCTTAAGTCGTATGCTAAGAAATTTTCTTTCAGACTTTGAGTTATCCTCGATAATTATAAACCAAATTTTCAAAATGACTTAAGTATGATTATTGACGAACTTTAACTTCATACCCTAGGATGAGACACAAGATTCCTTGAAAAATAACATATGTGAAGGTTAGAGAATCTTTGCTGAGAATCTACGATAAACATCACGTATCATCAACTACTAACCTATACATTTACCAAATAAAGGTTGACAATTTTTAGTAAGATGGTCAATTGGGATAAACATATTTATCCAGCAATCAAGTATCTTTATCCAATAATCTCAACTCCCAAAATTGGTTGCCAGTTCATCCAAACTCGAGAAACACGAATTGATATATGTTGTATAAGATAATAAGTTAATGCAATAATCAAATGAAATCCACTCTTATTGTTCAAATGATAAGACATTTTAAATGCACTTGAAATATGTGTGTATTGTAGACACTATTTATCAATTATTAATACATAAGTGATAAAATCTTTGAAAATTACACATTCAACGACCGTGTTAAGACCAAAATCCTCGATAGTGTGTGTGAGTGTCTTAGTTTGAGATTCTAAGCCAACATATAAACAATGACTACGGGTGGAGTTTTCGTCTAAACTTCAAAAATTAACAATTGATACATAATTGTATAATATACAAAATTTAAGTATCTTGATAAAAAAACTAACATCCAAAATGAAAATGGATTGAGATTAGAGAATTTAATCATCATGAGGGCTACGGTGTGTGTCAAGTTTTAATATGAATGAATAAATTGATCCAATAATGAAATATCTTTACTAAGAATTTCTCACTAAAAAGTCCTAATCTTTACAACATTGGTCGAAAGTTCGTCCAAACTCGAGGATCATGAATGTGTATTAGATTTCCAAAAGACCTAAAATCCCAATCACTTTCGGGGGCTAAATATCTCTGATCACAGCCATAGGTGCCAAAGAAGAATGAAATGAAGCCCAAAAAAATCAAAAAATAACATAATCTCCGATACGATGAACAAAATAAAACCATATCGAGTTATGATCCTGTCATTCCTACCCTTTTATTCTCCATAAAGGGGGCGGCGGGAGAGGATAAAAAAATAAACAGCAGGATCTTAGAATTTTCCTCTTTATATATTACATATCGAACGATAGACAACCCCAATGGTTGTCTGACGTTATGGAGGTAAAAGCAAGATCTCTATCCCGGGAGTGGGAGATAGGCAAATAGCACTTTTAATATGAGTATTAGGGGAGATACGATAGGTCTGGCAAAGTATGTGGATAATTTTTAGTCTACTATATATACACACATATATATACATATAAATAATATCAAGGTATACTATACTTTTGATTTTACTCAAGATACGATATAAGATAGGTATGACAAAGTATGTGCATAAATTAGAGGTTAGAGAATTAGGGATTGAAGTTCACATATTAGAGGTTAAGGTATAATATCATTTGTCCTAAAAAAAACTCCGGTTAATTCGGAGTCTAAATAATAAGACTCTATGGTCATATGGTAGTGTGAACGCAAGAGTATAGCGTACTCCTGGCGCAGCTAGCTTTAATTATATATATGTGTGTGGTTTAGGTTGGCGTACGCCAAATATTAGTGTTTTGGTTGGCAAATTTTGATTTAAGTTCTAAATAGGACGTGACAACGGTATAATTTATGATTAGAAAACCGAAGAATCAGAAGTGAGTGTGCTATATATTGAAAATTTTCAATATAGACATACTACAAATTCTGTTATGAATCAACCCAAAATATTTAGAAGATAAAAAATGATTTAAACATATACATAAGTTAACTAATATAAATTATAAAATAACTCTGTCCGGCCAACGGGCCGGGTAAAAAGCTAGTTTACCCTAATTTAAATTCTCTGCGTGAAGTGGTTGTCACCAAGTTAAAGGAAATGTCATATGCTTGCAATATTTGGGCTAAACATTTAGATGCACTAAAGGCAAAAAATAATAAAATATCATATATAACTTATAGGGGTGATAATTGGTTCGGTTACAGTTTAACCAAACCATTGGGTCAGTTAGCCGCCACTAATAACGAGCCCAGACTCCCAACCGAGGCCGACGCCAGCAATAATGTCGATTATTCGATCACCAAAATCGCAAGCTACAGTGTGGTTAATCCGCAAACTGTGAACGGACCAAACAATAAAAAGTATGAGACATGTTCCTCCTCCACAAAATCTGAAATCTCTCTCTCTCTCTCTCAAGTTCCAAAAGACCATCTAAATCCCTCATGCAATCTCTCATTGCTCATCTTTGAAGGCAGGGGAGATATAAGAAGGAAGATCAGAGTCCGAGGGGCGACGGACGAAGACAAAGGAAGGAGGTTGAGGACGACGGATGACGAGGCGACGACGGATGACTGGCAACGGCTGAAGAAGAGGGAGGAGGATGACTGGGGAAAGTTGCAGTAGATCTGTATCCGATAGAAGGGCATGGTAGTGGCAGCTCTTGACAAAAGGCGGAGGAAGATGAGAAAGAGCCGCCGGAGAATCTGGATCTGAATCCTCTGTCGCGTGGAATATGCAAATAGAAGGTGCACGAATCGAAGGTGATGATTGGCGACGACAATTGGTGAGGACGAATGTCCTCTTTCCCACTTGTTGGAGACGAGATCATGATGGAGAGGCTGGTGGTGGCGGATGAAGAATGTGAGCTGAGATGGGAATTTGGAAGAACAAGGAGATGAAGATCCGAGGTCGGGAGAGGAAGAGGTTTGGTTGGTGACTGGTGGGCAGGCAGAGGACGGTTATCTGTTATTATTTCTGTGTGGCGGTTACATTCGATGCACCGATTTTCCATCGGTTAGCTTCCAGCGGTTGCCAGTTATCCAAAAAAGCCTCCAATAGAAAATCGAGGCCGACACCGCAAACTCTATTATCAGTTTGTGGTTAGTCGAATAATCGCGATTTTTGGTTCAGTTTTCGGATTAACCAAATAAACGGCAACCGGTTAGTAGCTCTAACAACTTATGAGGTTGAAAACTTTTGGTCAATCAAAGATCAGATGATCGTAAATATGATCTTCCAGCTGATGATGAAGTCGCAACTCATATAATTTGACATTATTGTTGATACAGGTGAAACACGTACTAAATGAAGCGATCCTCTCATTAGACGAAACTTGAATAATAGATAATATCAATACATAAATATAAAAGAAGAAAAAGAAAAATACCATTAAAAATTACAACTACTAATAGAATAAAACAAAAAAAAAGCATATTCATGGAGGGAACACTAGCAATCCATTAAATTTAATCGAAAAAAGTTATGTATGCTCAAGAGGCCACATTATTGGAGAACATAAACATTTTAATAAAAACTTATCCTATTTACCAAAAGTTAATAAAAACATATACCACCAAAATGTTGATAGGGACATATCACATATGAGAGCCGAATTTGAGTGATTTGTCAAATAGTCATTTCCAGAGAAATGGAAGGAAGGAAAAAAAAAATGAAAGAACCAAACAATTGTCAATTTATGAGATCCTTCCTCATCCAACTATAAATATCCACCACTATCCAACAAGCGCCTTCAACCAAAAACCCCAACCCTCCCCCTTCCAATTCTCACTTTCCTTCACACGCCTATCCATGGCTATATACCCTACCCCAGTCTGAACTGAACAGCACTCATTTTTACTCAACCCATTCTCTTCTTCCCCTTTTCCTTCTTTCTCCCCAATCCCTTCGTTTCGATTCCCGTCAAATCAAACTACCCACCACGCGAATCTGCTAATAGTTTTGCTTCTTCCAGCTCCCCTCCAAATCCAGCCGCCATGGTGACCGGGAACCGGCTCCTGGAGGTGCTGAACGTCCGCCGCCTGGGCTCCGGCGACCGGGTCCTGGTCTTCGCCCACGGCGTCGGCACCGACCAGTCGGCGTGGCAGCGGATTCTCCCGTTCTTCACCCAGAGCTACACCGTCATCCTCTACGACCTCGTCTGCGCCGGCAGCGTCAACCCCGACTACTTCGACTTCCACCGCTACACCACCCTCGACCCTTACGTCGACGACCTCCTCAACATCCTCGACGCCCACCGCGTCGACCGCTGCGCCTACGTCGGCCACTCCGTCTCCGCCATGATCGGCCTCCTCGCCTCCATCCGCCGCCCCGAGCTCTTCTCCAAGCTCATCCTCATCGGCGCCTCCCCCAGGTCCCCAATTTCAAAATCCCCCTTTAATTTTCAATGAAATCGAATCCAGATTTCGGAAATTTCTAATTGAGAGAGGTTTCGGTTTGTGGGGGATTTAGGTTTCTGAACGACAAGGACTACCACGGGGGCTACGAGCAGAGCGAGATCGAGGAGGTTTTCACGGCGATGGAGGCGAATTACGAGGCGTGGGTGCAGGGATTCGCGCCGCTGGCGGTGGGGGCGGACGTGCCGGCGGCGGTGAGGGAGTTCACGAGGACGCTGTTCAACATGAGGCCGGACATCACGCTGTTCGTGTCGAGGACGGTGTTCAACAGCGACTTCAGGGGGATACTGGGGCTGGTGAAGGTCCCCTGCTGCATCATCCAGACCTCCAAGGACATGTCCGTACCGCCGTCTGTGGTGGACTACTTGAAGACCCATCTGGGCGGCAGGACCACCGTCGAGATTCTCCGGACGGAGGGCCATTTGCCGCACCTCAGCGCTCCTGGCCTCCTCGCGCAGGTCCTCCGCCGTGCACTTGCCCGGTGATGGGCGGCGTTGGAAGGTTCGCCGTCGGCGGTGCGGAAAAGAGTTGTGGAAAAGTAAGTATCATTTAATGAGAGAGGAAAGCCGGCAGGTTGCATCCTACCGCTGCGGAGCATTTTTCCTTTTATTTTTCTGGAGTGTGGGGCCCGCTGAGGCCGGTGGAGATGACGACACCTGGCGAATAATTATGTGGACGTTACATTACTTCGGGGTTGGGCCGAATTTTTACGGGATTTTTTATTTGTACCCTACCATATGGATTTTCTAATTTTTATATGGAGTGATAGACGGAAAATCAACGGTGAAATTTCCTTTCGTTTCGTGATTTAAAGCGATAGTATCGTTAGATCAAGTATTTATTTTCGAGAAAAATATTTTTGGTGGTGGATGGTTCGGGAAGAATAAAGAGGAGGTGAAGAAAGTCAATTTCGGTGATGGTGATGAACTAATTGATTAATGCTCAGGTTTTGGCTCAGGACAGGATGGATGGATGATGATCTATAACTGAATTGAATTGGGGTTAAGGCTTTGAGAAAACCAGAAACTCACGTGGATATCACGTGACGGGATATGACTTGTCTTTTTTAGTTTGTTGTCTGGGCCTTGGTGTTGGGCCCTGGTTTTCCAGTTCTGGACAAACACGAGGGAAGGAAGAATCCAAAAGGAGGGAGGGAAGGATAGACCGACGGGGTAATTATTCAGTTGTGTACTTTTAATACGGTGCGGCTGGAAAAATTGGCACCAACATGATTTCTCGGCGGCAACCAACGCCAAAAGCTAGCGTTTGGGAAGAGAGAGGGGCGCTCATTTGCTTTGACTAATTGCTGAGAGGGAATAAATATTAGACTGTAACAGTGGGTTAGTTAAGACTAGTGATGTGTTAGGCATGAGAGATTTCATAATCTCTCTACGCAGGAAGCGAGATCATTGGGGTTTGGTTTTGGTGATAGTTAAATTGATGAATTGTCATCGGTGCATGTATATTAATATACATGTATATAAGAAAAGTGGTGTATTGTAATTTACATCGTTTGGTTTTTGTGGTAGTTATTGTAATGTTTAAACAAGTTATATTACTTTTTCGATGAAATGTCACTTTTCCCCTTTGCTATTAATATAAACAAGTAACACACATGAAAAGTTGGAAGAAAAAATAACTCAACAATCTCCACCAAACAATCTCAACAATCTCACAAAAAACTTGAGATTTAACTATCACTCATTTTGAGTGATAGTTTGTGTCAAATCAAGGAAATAATGCATGTATTGTTTGTGCAGAAAATTAAAAAAAAAACAATGCATTGCAACTATCCCACCAAACAATCACCAAAACCAAACGACCCCTTGTTCACCAAAATAAATAATTGGTAGGATTTGTAGATTTGTTGACCTGGAGGTGTTGTTCTATGCAGAGAGAAATGTTGGATTGTATTTATGAACAAACAATTGAAGTTGAGAATAGAGATGGCAATTCATATCCAATCTGTTAGTTATTTCTCACCAAAAAATAATATCCGATCTGTTAGTTATTTTTTTTATCTAACCTGTAATGGGAGGATAAAATTCGGTGTTTGAGCGAGGGAGATCTTGATCTCCGCAACTAAAACAAAGTGGGGGATGGGTACCTCTATTGCCTTGCCTCTTCCATGGCCTCATTATCCAATCCTACGAGGCCGGATCTGGTGACTAGTGGGGGGAGGGGGGCTAGTCACTTGACTAAAATCCTCCCAGCACTTAGATATGGACACAGCATTCCAACGGTTAAAAAGTGGGAATGAATTTTTAATTAATGACGGATAGTTTGGGTATTATGAAAAAATACGAAGTATACAATCCGGACTTACAAAGGGTACAAACCATACAAACAATACAAACTAGAACGACAAAACATACAAACAGACTAACAAACAATACAAAAGATACAAACAAGGCAAACTATACTTGTATAGCCAAAACTTGACGGGTTGGCCAAATATAGCCACGTTTGGTGAAATACCAAAAATAGCCACTTTCGTCCAATTGTTTGACGGTGTTAATTAACGTGCTGACTGGACTAACGGAAAAACTGACATGTTAACCATTTAGTCAATAAAAATATGAGGTGGAATAAACAGAAACAATAAAAATAAAAAGATTAACTTTTTTTTTATTTCCCTCTCTCCCTCTCGGTTCTTCTCCCACCCAACCTTCCCCCTCTCTCTCGTTCTTTCCCAGAACTAGTTTCCTTCCCCAAAATCACTTCCCCATGTTCCTCCTCCTCCCCAATTTCCAATCTGCAAAAACCTTCACACTCACCTCCTCTCTTCCATCCACCTTTACTACCACACCGAATTCAACCCTCACCACAATCTATTTCCAATACGCAACAACCACCACCAGCCTCCAGATGTGACTCACCGCCGTTCCTGCTGCAACATCGACGCCTTCAAATCTCTGTTCCTGATGGCCGGCGATTGCAACGTCGACGTTTTCAAATCTGCTCCAAATCTCCGCCCCGCTAAACCCTTAATCCCCAAATCCCCGCCGCTGTCACCTCTCCGCACACAACTTCTTCCTCCTCACCTCTGCGTTAAGCTCGCAGGCGATAAAAATAGGATACTCGTCGCTGCTGCTACTCTGTTTCGCCGATGTCGTCGTTCTTCTCCGCGGAGTACTCGAAACCCTACCAGTGAGGAGCTATAGTAAAAGACCTCCATAGTGGGATTCCGCTCTCTGTTTCCAACTTGCTAGTGGTGTTACGATGGAGATACGCCATTCCCCTTGCTACTCCTTGCGCCACTGTCAGCCTCGCGCTCCATCGGAAAGGGATTTTGTCCTTTGTCCCTCTTCCTCCTGTAATTTGAGCGACAACACATGTTAAAAAGACTCAATTTTTGTGATTGCTTTTTCAAATTTATGCGAGAAGGGGACACAGAGTTTGAAATAAATAGGGATCTTTACCATGAATGCGATTGAAGAGGTTGTCATTCTCTGCAAATCCTTTGAAATGAAGTAAGCCAAAGGCGACAACAAGTTCGAATGCTTCTGATAACCCAATGGAGAGTGGATCTGAGTCTCGTGACGAACCATGACGTAATTGAAGTGGTACGTCGACGCCTTCAAATCTGCTCAAATTTCCGCCGCAATCAAACCCATAATCCCCAAATCCCGGCCGCCGTCACCTCTCCGCACGCCACTTTCTCATCCTCACCACCAGCGAAGGAGAATCGAGCGCCAGTATATCCCCGCCAGCCGCTCGACAACAGGAACCTCGTCGCCGGGACGAGATCAGTTCATCGCCGGTGCCCATAAATCAGTTCTTCTGGCCAGAGGTTGAAGATGATGGTTGTGGGAGTTGGGTGAATGAAAGGGAGAGATAGAGAGAATGGCTGGAGCATATTGGAGAAGGAGACGAAGAGGTGTGGGGGAGAGGGGTTGTTGGGAGAAGATGAAATCAGGGGAAAGAATAAGAGAATAAAATTAATAAAAAAATATTGAAAATTTTAATTTTTAATATTACGTGGTATCTATTTGTCATCGAAAGCTGAGGTGGAATCGAAAGAGAGGGTGAGTTGGCAGCCAGGTAAGCGTGTCGCTAGTTTGACTAACGATGTCACTGACGCCGTTAAAATATGTAACGAAAATGGCTATATTTGTCATGAAACTTTCAAAATTCTGGCTATATTTGGTATTTCGCCAAAAGTGGCTATTATTGTCACAAACGTGAAAGTTTTGGCTACACAGATGAATTTTGCCTACAAACAATACAAAGGAGACCGACAAACAATACAAACCATAAAAAATGGAAAAACACATGTGTTGACTTTGGAGGCTTCATCTCTATATAGAAGAGTTCCATAAAAAAGTCAACTAGTTTGTTTTTTAGATATAAAAAATAGGAAAAATACAGTTGTATGTCCACAACTATCAGGTTTGTGACAAATATATCCACAACTATCGAAATACACGAAATATCCAAACATCGGAAGATTGTGTGACAAATCTATCCACTTTCGTCTGAAACTATAACGGTGTGTCAGACGGCGTTAACTTGACTAACGAAATGTTGAATCGATGTCATCTCACCTGCCACATATGCCAAAAAGCAACCAAACTTTACACGTAGATGCCAAATAGGCTAGTTGAATAAAGGAAAAATATTATCCACAACTATGAGGTTTGTGACAAATATATCCACCACTATCAGGTTTTTGACAAATATATCCACAACTATCGAAATACACAAAAATATCCATTTCCGTCCACTCCGTTAACTCCGTCACTTAACTTGATGACTGACAGACGGTGGATGCTTAGTTGGCGTGTTTTTGGCCCCACTGAATGACGTGGATTAAAAGAGAAAAAAAATTAAAAACCTAAAAACCACAGACGGCGGGACTAAAAATCCAACCCAGAAAAACGCCCGATAACCACTTATCCTCCTCCGATCGACGCCTCCGCCCCCAAATAACCCTAACCCAAACCCAGATTTTGACTCCAACCATAATTCCCAACCATTGCCTCCCTTTTACTCCGACAGCTTCCATGTGGCCGGCGCCATGGTGATATCAAGCTTGAATCTCAAACAAAAAAAAAGCTTGAATCTAACCAAATCGCCAACAGAGAAGACTGCAGCAGCGAGGTCTAACAGATAACGGTGTAAAGTTTGGTTGCTTTTTGGCTTATGTGGCAGGTGAGATGACATCGATTCAGCATTCCGTTAGTCAATTTAACTCCGTCTGACACGCCGTTATAGTTTCAGACGAAAGTGGATAGATTTGTCACACAACCTTCCGACTTTTGGATATTTCGTGTATTTCGATAGTTGTGGATATATTTGTCACAAATCTGATAGTTGTGGATATACAAATATATTGTGCCTAATTTTTTTCTCTTTTAATCCACGTCATTTAGTGGGGTCAGAAACACGCCAACTAAGCATCCACCGTCTGTCTAGTCATCAAGTTAACTGACGGAGTTAACGGAGTGGACGAAAATGGATATTTCGTGTATTTCGATAGTTGTGGATATATTTGTCACAAACCTGATAGTTGTGGATATACAACTGTATTTTGCCTAAAAAAATATTACAAATATGGATGACAAAAATGATAAACATGGTGGACAAAAATAACAAACATTACAAAAGAAACCAACCAACATTACAAAATAAGAAAACTTACAAACATTACAAAAGAAATCGACAAATAGTACAAAACATACTAACCGTACTAAATATCACTACTTACAATACAAATCGGCAAACTTGTATTACAAACGAATGAATACTAAGTATACAAATCATAACGTAAAAGTATACAAACTTGACAAACAAACA